GAGAGAAATGCCATCTCGGTTTTAAATTTGCAATCCCCTGCCCCTAGTTTTCTGGCACACACATACATAAATGCATTGAAGAAAAACTCAGTCATGTGCCTGGTTCTCTCTCCTTTGTCCTCTGGCAACAGGTCAGATGTGTTTCCCCTAGCCATTGCATCCTTTTCAGAAGCTTGGTYGTTCAGCGTCACCATCCTGCTGAGCTCCAGCAGATCACCTGGGTGCTCCTAACCTTAGCTGATGTTCCTTGTCTCCAGAGGTCCTGGGGATGATAAGTAATGGGAAAGAAAGGAAAKYGAAGGAACACCCTGTGCRGAGMAATGGTACAGAGAACAGGAACCCARTTAACATCTGAAGTAGAAATTTGCTTGGGGTTCATCCCTCACCCGACTGGAGAAAGGGGGGTTCCCCCAGACATCTCCAAGAGCTCTTGCTGTACGTGGACCCCCTCTGTGGACTGTTGGGAAGCGCGGCCTGCTCCCTATGTGCCCCTGTGGATCATGCCTGGCTCTCCTTGCTCTTCTTTGGATGGAGGGATTCCAGTTGTTTCAGAGCATTCATTTAATATGGTGGGAGCATCCGGGAGGCTGCGTGGGATTGTGGAAGTCGTGTTGAGCTGGCTCTGTGTCCCAGAGCCCACTCCAAACTTCTCMCTTTTCCGCAGAATGACTGTGTAAAGCTGGAAAAAGACACTCAGCTTCTTGGGTCCCCTGGGGCTTGCATAGTGCAGAGAACCAGGGGGAGAGTGTGTTTGGAGAGCACGGTGGAGCATGGGCTCGTGGGTACAGGTCAGGTCCAGCTCAGTATTAAAGAGAGTCCCTAAGAATTAGCGCCTTCTAATAGTGAGATCGGCAGCTGCCAGTTTTCAAAAATGCTCCCACAGGCAGTCGGCCGCTCTGGGCCGAGCTTTGCGCAGCAGCGCGGACTTGCTCCCGAACAGACAGGCGCCAGCCCTGCTGTCACATGCCTCCAGATCCATTGCAGGAAGCAGCCAGAGGGTCAGGTATTCCAGGGTGGTCACTCCATTATGTAATGACAGTCCCTAGAARTGTCATGAAGGAGATACARGGTGAYTAGAGAGGGTGAGACAGSATKYGGCTCTCGTCAGGGAAGAGCCAGGGCAGCTTCCCTGAGGAAGTAACCTCTGCGCAKGGATTGAAGGATGATCCAGGAGCAGTAAGGTAGGATTGGAAGGACAGAGGAGAGGCGCATGCTGGCCAAGGAAGGCAGGATGGCAGAAGTGTTCAACTCTTCCCTCCATAAGTCRTGATTGAGCCCCTGCTCTGGGTGCTGGAGACGCAGGTGTAGAGGACAAGACTGATAAAGTCCCCGAGGAGAGTGGCAGAGAGCCTCGACATAGCAGATCACCCCGGTGTCGTTTCACTACCATCCTCGTCGTCTGGAGGTGGACTAGGCTCAGCCGCTGGTGCCCTGCAGGTGTCTCACCCAGATACTCAAGCCATAGCTGCTTTGGGATTCTCACTCACATGACGATGGCTGGGCTGCRGAGACACACAGCTGGGAGATGGGACAGCTGGGGCCACGTGGGCATCCCTGTCTCTGGGTGGCCTCCCATGTGGCTCTCCAGGGTGATGGCTTCAGAACATCAAGTGGCCTGTGAGGTGGCTGCAGCATGTCCCTTAAGGGAGGGGCTCTCACCTCCATCCCTCTTCTAGGCAGTTCCAGAGGGTCACAGATTCTCCATCCTGGGTTCTTTCTTGTGGGGCTTGACGCCCCTGTGGGCTGACTCCCCAAGCACCGGCCCAGCAGACTGTCTGCCCTGACTGGGTGGACACGCGTGGACACAGGCTCCAAGTCCCCAAGGAGCAAAGCTCTCCTGTGAAGCCGAGAGCTGTCGGGAGTGGGAGTGAGGTTGGACCAGAAGGGGCCCTTGGAGGCCGTGGGCAGTGAGTGGTCGGTTGTCATCGCTGGAGCATTGCGGGCAGCTGCTAGAGGGCCAGGGAAGAGTGGGGAAGACATTTCTTTGGGGAAGAAGAAGAGTTTGTGTTATGTTTTAAAATCCATCTGTTAGAATGATTTGTCTTACAAAAGAATATTCCCGGCTCTAAGTGAGGAAGCTGAGCTCTTCMCCGGATTGAGTCACTTGTGCCAGGATCAGCGCTGTGGCAGTCTGTGGTCGAGTATCACAGAGATCACAGAGTTAGTGGGCAGAGACACCCCCTGTGACCTGCACAGTTCAGTCAGTCACCCAACCACAGTCCAAGCCGACCTCCCGCTGTGGCTTCCTGCACTGCACATAGTAGTGCCCCCCCCACCCCGTGACTGACTCAGCAGGAGAGCTCTTTGTGGGGTTCACTGTGAACACTTAGAAACTCAATTTATGAGAACAAGTACTTGCTCGTTTATTTTGTGGAAGCCAGCGACTTAACAAGGATCAATAGCTGCCCATTGCTTTGAATTCTGGACATCACTTGTGTCGACAGCTTCTTTCTCATTAAGTGTCATTGACCTTGAAGCTTGTGTTTCATTGCCACTTTGACCTAAGCTGGAACTCAGAACAGTGTAACTGCTTCACTGGCAGGGACCAGGTAACAGTTCAGATTCCAAACTAAGTGGCTGTGACTCCAGGGCCCAGTGCTTAGCTCTGTTCAGGCTCTCCTTCTCGCTTGGTTAAGTGCAGAGGAGCCACAGAGAGTCTGGAGAGGGTCAGGGCCTCCTCAGGTGTCAGCATGGGGAGAGCCCCTAGAGGTCCCTGCCTCCACCCCTCCCCTGTCTCCCCAGCAGCTGGCTGCCTGTTGATCACCTCCAGGGGCATGGGAGGGCTCACCCTGTGCTGACCACACTGCCTGTGAGGCAGCAGCATTCCAGAACATTTTAAGGGCACAGAGTTCCTGCTCATGGGCACTGGCAATGATAAGGACCCAGGGAGATGCTGGTGCCGGCTCCCTGTCATGACTGGGCCATGTGCAGTGAGCACAGGGGTTTGCCAGAGCTCTACAAGTGAGCTCCTCACCTGGAAAAGACTGCATCAGACAAAACACCTTGCAGTGGCCAACACGAGCTCTCCTGTCCACGGCTCYGCCACCCCTGTGTCCACCCAGAGCAAAACCCCCATCTCTGAGGTACTGTCAACATAGACCCTCAGGCGTCAGAAAACGTAAGTGGCCTTGCCAACCCATGCACTCGYGTGTCCCTGATTGGCACTGTACATCTGTGATTCTGAGGAATTGTTAATTTTTTTTTTTTTGGCTTTGAAAAAATGTGACTTTTATCACCCAAACCTTTATTACATCCCACTTTGCGTTTCMAATTTTACAGCCTGCCTATTTAATCCCTTTGTGCTTTCCTTGACATTTGAAGAAACTTTTAATTGACACAGTTTTGCTTGCAAAATAAAATCTTAAAAAAAAAAAACAGTTATATTTTTAAAGTGCCTTTGTGGGGAGTAACTCATGCCAACTGTGTGTCCCCCTCTTCGCTGAGGCACTCGGAGTTGCTCTTGACATTCTAAATTAAGAACGCTTCCACAACTTAAGAAAGGCGGTGAGGCGGGACCCACGCAGACTTCTTCCAAAATGTCAGGAAAAAAATAACCCCAGGGAATGCGGGCGTGAAAACGCTGGCGTGTGGAAGCCGTGTTCGGTCTCTTCTGGCCCCGAGAAACCACCAGTTTCTTCTGGAAAAAATAAAAAGAAGCCACAAGGGAGAGCATAGTTGGAATGTGCAGTTCACAAATAAAAGGGGGGAGAAAAAAACCTTTAATATTCCATGAACTTAAAATTGCTAAATCTGCAGATTATTGGCCTCGAATCCTTTCTGGCAAGGAATCGTAGCTAAATAATTCAGGGTGCATATTTTAAAACATGTAGGACGTGGGATGAACGGTCTGGCTGAGACAACGCATGCAGGTTGCCCGGAACCGCTCTGGACTGAGCAGCTGACCACACCTGAGCCGGCGGCTCTGCTGCTTTTCAGACATGTAATCATGACTGTGTACATGTTGGTTGCTAGATTGCTAGTGCCAGGGCCTTCATCAGATCAGTGAGCTTCAGAATGATTTTTTTTTTTTTTTTGAGTAATTGTGCGGGTTGTCACAGAAATCCCTTTCTTCCCTTGATCCTAACAGCCCGATTGCATTCAGACCTCCATCAGGAGGTGAATCTTGGTTTCACCCATTGCTGTGGTCCTTTCCCAGTGCTAGGTTTGGGCCTGGGCATGTGATCCTCTTTTGCCAGGGAAATCTGGTGGAGGGGCTTCTAGGAGAGAGGAGATGCATGGGACTGCCCCTTCTGCCTCCAGGTACGGCTGCGTTGCCTGGGAGCATGGCCACCATCTGGTGACCCTAAGAGAAGCCAGCCTGGGGGCCGGACAAGCACAGAGGGTTGCCAAGAGCACAGAGAGAGAAGGGTCTCGGCTTCCTGATGATGCCCTAGAGTAGCTCAGGTACCAAGCCTGGGGCTGCTCTGCGCCTGGAGAATGTCGATGGGCCTCTCTGGGTGAGCTGGGGTGCTCTGTGGTCGGAGCCAAGAGTCTTCATGGGTGTGTGAATTATGTAAATCAAAAAAAGTGAAGTTCACAGAGAACAAAGGTGTCCATGATCACGTCACCTTTTTATCAGATCTAAAAGGGACATTCAGCCTGGGCAGTGACGAGTCCTCTGCCTCGTGCAGCTCATCACATGTGTCACTTTTTTCATCACAGGTATGGACAGAGCTGTGAAGGGGACCTGTGTGCCGTGGTGCTGATGGCGAGCTCTAGGTACGGTGTGGGTTGGGCTGCTTCCGAGAAATGAGACAGCGACCGCTTTGACAACTGGTGAAATGGCTTTTTTTTTCTCGTAGAACAGTTGCGGTTGGTGGGCATTTGAGAAGGGTGGTGTTGGGCCTGCAGGATTCTTCTCGGTGGTACCCTAGGGTGCCATCTCCATCCCTGTTGTTTAGAGCTGGCTCAACCCCGTTTCAGTGTTGCAGAGTGTGCAAAGCGGGTAGAAGAAAGGTCAGGGTGGGCGGGGGCAGACAGCCGCCTCTCCATCTGGCATCGCCAAGGAGCTTCCGATCACAATTCATTGGCCAGAACTTGATCATTTGCCCACAGTTAGTTGCCAAAGAATCTAGGAAACATCATGTCTAGCTGGGTGACCAGGCCTCTCGCTAAAGCCCAAAGGAGCCAAAGGATTCTGCCCATGAGAGGACGGAGACTAGACAATGGGGACAGTGGCATCTGCCACATAGTGTGTCTGAGGAAARAACATGGTGGGTGGTGTGAGCCTTGTGGCCCAGGTTCCCTTGAGCCAGCGCCCACCTGTCCTGGTCCCTCTTCAGGTCAAGGACTTGAGCCAGGTGATGTTTAAAATTCTTCCAGCTCTGACCCTCTCTGGCATTTCCAGGGGGCGTTCTGTTGCTGAGCTGGGGGAGAGGGGGCACTTGACCCCTAGAGAAGTCACTGCTGACACTTAACGAAGAGCCCGTTATCAGCTGGGTTCCCTGCCATGTGCCTTACACGTGTTGACCCCGCTTGCCCTCACACAGTCTCTGAACGGCCCCGTGATGGTGCCCATGTCATAGAGGGCCCACCATGGCCCATGAGGGGGCAGAGCAGGGCTCCACCATGCCCCCCAATCTTTGGGCTCGCCCTCAAAGCTGAGTGGGAAGGACTGGGAAGTGAGGAGGGATTTGTGGGGTGTGGCTGGGTCCCAGCAGGTCCTGAAAGCAGGGCCCAGACCACCGGGGCCCAGTGCTCCTGTGACCAGGGGCTGCTTGGGGATCAGTCTGCAGCAGTGAGCAGAAGCGCCCTCCCACACTGGTTCCTTCCTACCCTAGAGGTGGCCATCGCCACTTTGTTTTACATGGGACGGTGACTTGGGTTGTATCACCTCTCAGAGTGCCCAGGTGGGGGAGGCACCCGGAAGGTCGGTTGTGGTGCCAAGTGCAGTGTTGAGGGGGGGTGTGCTCGAGGCTCCTGGGCCTCCTTTAAGATGCTGTTGTTGCTGGGAGCGGCAGGAGGCTCAGGGCTGCTCCTCTCCAGGCTTCCTGCAGGAGGCCAGGTGCTGGGAAGAGACAGAAGAACCCTGGCCCTAGGACATGAAGGTCAGTCCCTCCATCTGACACTGCTSGGTGGCATGACTGCTGAGACCCCTCCTCTTGCTCCAGCCTACAGATGAGTCAGCTTTGTGCCTAGAGGGGACTCCTGGGAGGCAAAGCGAATCGGTGAGAATGTTGTCTAGTCCCACGGATGGCAGGACTCTTTGGGGTCAGTGGGTCAAATGGCCTGGGTAGAGGGAGTGAGGCCCTTGCAGCCCACACACGGGTGGGTCCTGAGCCACAGGCGAGCCCTGGCCTTGCAAGAGCTCACCCACATAAGATAGAGGCTCCTAGGCCAGCCCTGTGGGGCCTCTGGGCAGCTGGCTGTTCCCAGGCCCAGCACTGCCCTGCATGTGTTGCTGGACAGTTGTGGCCTCGCCTCTTCAGGAAACCTCCCGCTGCATCCTGACCTAAGTGTGGGCTCTGCTGCCCCCTCCTGCTTCCCCCTTGGCCTCTCTTCTCAAGTACCTAATGATCGTCTTGCCCATGTCTTCACTGACCAGACTGTGAACTTCCCTTTTTTTTCTTTTAGTTGTTTAACCTTTTAAAACTGTAAAAAAAAGTGGAAGACCCGTGGAAGCAGAGAGGAGCACGTGGTGAATGCCGGATCCCTCATGCAGCTTCAGCAGCTGCCCACATCCTGTGTCCGTGTCCCTCAATCTTTTTGTCTCCCTGCAACACCCGCTGCCCTTGGAATACTTTAAAGCACATCCTAGATCTTGTATCACTCTTCCACAAATACTTTACTGGATTTCAGCTATGACCTGCAAGATGGCCAAAAAAAAAAAGTCCCCTGTTGTGTGTCCTGGGTCACTTGCGATGGTTTCTGACACCATGTGATCTTGAATCGAGTGAATGAATGAATGAATGAATGAATGAATTGACTTTTGCTTTTAGAACCAAGCCTGTACATTGGCTGGAGACCCTGGAATGTGAATGCTGTGAGTTCATGTCCCTGTTAGTAGGGACAGACAAGGCAGGGCACCAAAGACAGCAGAAAACAGTTTTATTTGGCTGCAGCCAGGTTCAGAGGGCACAGCTTTCACTGTAATCAATTAATCCCCTGAACCCCAAGTTCAGGTAGTTTCAGAACTGTATACCCAGCATGTAAGGGGAGGGGCTCAGAAGTTCACATAAAAGCAGCTTTTTCTTTCACTGTTCTGGGCAAGTTAACCCTTCAAGGACAGCACCTGAAAAGGGGAGAGCTTCTTCTCCCCTTTCTTTCCTCCCCCTGCCAGCTGTTACCATGGAGCCCAATGGGTAACTTCTCTTATCTTAGAAATGTAGGCATCTCTGTGAAGCCCAGCTCAAGGCCAGAGGCCTTGTTAAAGGATTTGTCTTTTTTTTTTTTTTTTAAATCACACTTTGCATTTGCAAACACACTTTTACAAACTACTCTTCTGGATGAATTTTGTGAAAAACTAGTAAGAAAGTGTTCAGCACATGGAATGATGATTTCTTCCAGGCCAGTGGCCAAGTAAAATAGAGCAACAAGAAAATTGAACTCTTTTGCTGACAGTCCTAAAATCAGCCATGGTGAAGATTTCTGGAGAAGCCCAGTTAAGATTTTCTGTGGAGAAGGGGGTGCCACTACATCCCCTCCTCCCAGGTGCCCATCCCACTGCCTTGGATTTCCAGGAAGCTCTGAAATCCATCCATCTTCATCCAACCTCAAGGTTGGTTTATTCTTAGCCAAGCATCTTTGATTTTGCAATTAAACTCCACTCTGAGATGACCCTGAAGAGAGAGGACTAATAAGATGATGCTTTTACCTTCGCTTGGTTCATATTTAGATCACAATTGCATTATAATAACATTATTGTAATGTTATATTTATTTAGGCCCAAATGATTATCCCCCCCCAATCAAAGCATAGAAGACATCCAGTGCATTTTCTTTATTAAAAACCATCTTTCTATTCCCAGAAATGGTATTTTTACTGTACAAATGAAAGATAATTGAGTGCATATTTTCTTTCAAGCAGTTGTGGTCATGTTTGAAACCCTCAGTTCTGTCCCTTCGAAGGGGACCCTGAGATCAGGGTCTGTTGCCTGATGTGGCATTTCCAGTTCTTAAAAGGTTAAAAAAAAAAACTGGGGGTGGGGGGAAGGCCAGAACTTGGCCTGTGGAAACCTCGGGTGGTGGAGTAGTAGCTTATAAAAGTGCCTTTGACACATTTCTTTTTCTTTTTAACTCAGAAGTGGTCTTTACCGTAACGTAACGGGAACTGCTTATTAACTCTTACTGTTTCCGGAATTATATTCTAAAATCTTTTCTTTTGCTACTCAGATTTCTTTTGCTACTCAGATTTGTAGGGAGGTGGGATTGAGTTAGCTGAGTTTTCTGTTTGTTTGTTTGCTGTCTAATTAGGAATTCAAAGTAATTATTCCATTTCTGAGTTTCAGATATTTTTACCATGTGGGTTTAGTACGGGGGACTAAAGCTGCGTCCAAAGGCACTGACCATGAGCCACTGTTACAGGTTCAGCCGGACACAAAACGGTCATTCCCACAGAGGTCTTTATGGGAACTGGGACATAGAGCCTGTTGAACCAAGAGCATCTTTTCCCTGGAAGGTGATGGGGCTCAGAGCTGTTTGGGGATGAGGAGACGAGGGAGTTGTAATAGCTCAGTACCTCCTACTGCAGGTGCAGCCCTGAATTGTCCCACAACTTCTTTTTTCTGGGCTGTGAGTGGGCAGACGTCAGGCCTGACTGGACCTAGAGTCCTGGCTGTGACTGGTATGGCCTGCCTGCGTGTGATGGGGACCCAGAGAAGCTGCAGTCCACCCTCAGGGTGGGCACAGAGCTCCCCAGCAGAGACTGCAGGAAGATGGCAGGCAGGGGAACCAAGGATTTCGTGGCTGTTATGAGTGTCCACCTGGCGTGGGAAAGGGAAAGGAGCTCTGGGAACTATGTGCACTTCTCTGTGGGTATTTCCCCACGGAGAAATAGTCCCAGCCGCAGGGCCTGCACTCTGGTAACCACAGCAGACAAGCACACAGGCACATAGGCATGTGCACACCCTCCCCCTTGGGGTCCCAGCTCCCGCCATCAACACAGCCTCCTTCAACTCCATGGGAAGTTTGCGTTCTATCATAGTTATTTTGTCTTGGGGAGGGGAAAAGTAATAAGGAAAATCATGACCTTCATCGCCAAGCTGGGACCGCAGATCTGGAGAGAGACAGTGGGCTGGTGATTCTTGATTTTGGGGGGGTGGGGCCCAACACACTGAGACAGATGTTCCGGGCTGGAAAACCCAGGGCAAGGTGAGACAGGACAGCTGAGTCACCCCAGGAGAGACCTGCATGGAGCACGGCCACCAGTGTGGCTGCAGGTTTGTCTGCCTCCCTTGAGGGATGGGGCTGGTGACAGGGAAGTGGCCAGGGTTTGGGAGAGGAACCCCAGCATGGAACAGAACCCACAGTTGAGGAGAAAGGGTGAATTTTTGTGTTCAGAGAGGCAAGCGGTCTGAGTGGCTGCTGCAGAGCTGAGACCCACACAGTCCTCCCCGCGCCTGTCTCCATGTCTGCTCCTCCCACCTTTCATATTCTTGTCTCCAATCTTATTTAAAAGTCAGAATCCCACGACTCAGAGAAGCAAAGTCAACCGTGTGTCAGGAAAGCGCATGGAAAATAGGCAATGAGCCGGGATTGAACAAAGATCTGCAGGTCTCTGGAGTCTCATGGTTTCCACTACATTAGGGCTCCGGGGAGTCACATTCATGAAGAAGCATCCCCAATGGGGTAATACCCATGCACTCTGGCTCCTGTGCTGGACACGCATATGTGCACACGCGCGTGCGCACAAGGACATCCTCCCCTCAACACTCTCTGGGTTTCTGCCCGTTCCTCTTCTGACTCTCCTCTGACATTTTCCAAAGACCAAAAGCAGTAGTTACATGATCCCAGCCATCTGGTCATCCCAACATACCCTAAGTATTTTACATCTAGACTAAATACAGCCTCTTTCCCAAAAAGCACTYTGCAGATTAAAGAATGTCATTAAGATGGAGATTTGCATGTGGTGGCCACAGATGAGGTCACGGAGATCGAGATCCTTACCGTGAATTTCCTGGTGGAGATGTGAGGCATTTCCTCCCTATCACATCAGTTAGTTTTTACTTTGTATCAAATCCCCAAAACCTATTGGCTTATAACAGCAACCATCGTGTTTGCTTTGTGAAGTCCTCCTAGTCTGGGCAGACTCTCTGGATAATAGTCTACTATGGCTTGGACAGAGCTGGATGGTCCAGGATGGCCTCGCTCATGTGTGTGTGATGATTGACAGGCTGTTGTTTGAAGAAAGCCTCAGCTTGGAGTGCTTGCCCACACTCCACATGGTCCCCCACCCTCCAGTAGAGGAGCTTAGGCATCCTCATATGGTGGTCTCCGTGTTCCAGAAGTAGCAAAGGAAGACAAGCCCTCAGGCATATGTACACTTCAAGCTTCTGGTATTGTTCCATAGGCCAAACTGAGAGTAGGTGTAGGAGGAAACTATGGAAGGCCACAGATGTAGCAAAGCATAAACAACCAGAGGACATTACTATAACAAATCCACCATGCAATAAGCCTAAGATTTAATTCAGCAAAAAAAAAAAAAAAAAAAAAACATTCTGCCTGATGCCTACCTGGGGACAAGGCTGAACCACATTGTGGTTAAACCCACATGCAAAGGGATAGCGAGTCGAACCCTAGCTGACTAGCTCCTGCCAGTCACTGAGGTGGTAATCCCCGAGGAACTAGAGGCAGGAAGTCACTGAAAGGCCAGACGTGGCCCAGCAGCAGAAGAGAGGTGCTCAATCTCCTGTGTGCAAACAGAGCAACCAGGAGGCAGGTGTGGCCTCTGAGGTGACAATGCAAGAGACCCCACCTAGACTCAGAAATCTGGGTGGGTGATTTCCCACAGTGACTCCCAGGTAAGACTTGAGCCATCGCTGCAGAAGGAGGGATGTGAACAGGAATGTGCAAATATTGAGTGTTCACACACCCAGAGGGACCACAAGAGCTGAGAAACTTCCACTCTAAACTTTTATTTCCCAGGAGGAAGAAAGCAAGAGCAATGACCTGAGGACTCAAGACAAAGTGGTCAYACCCACTGTCTCTGGAATATCTTTGCTATGGTGGGGACTGTACTCAGCCTGAAATTTAGTCCCCTGAGGTAATTAGTCCACTTTTCTAGATGAGGAAACAGCCTTAGAGAGGATGAATACTTGACTGAAGTCCTGGACCTTGCCCTTTCTCTGCCTCTGGCTGCCTGTAGGGTCCCCAAATATATAGCAGCAAGGGACAGCCAGGCCTACAGGTCCATCCTAGGGGTAGAACTTAGAAAGGCCCCAAAGGCCAGTTCCCAGGCAGCAACTCTAGGAGATGTCCATGCAAAGGAGAATGAGAATGACCAAAGGTGGACATTCAAAAAGAAGGTGGCAGAGGAAACCATGAAGAAAAGCCAACATACTTGTTTGTGGTGGCGATGCAGAGACACCAAAAGGGTTAAATTTGCTCTGAGCCTTTTCCCTAGTCTTCTCTCTCCCCATTCTTCACATTAAAAGGATCACTGTGTCAGGAGGTCATTGATAGCATTTGAAGAAACTGCTGCCCCTTCAAGAGCGTGAGAAGCTGAGCTGGGCATGTCCAGGGTGAACTCAATCTGTGTTGATCAGCAGATTGTGGCCAGAGTGGGTGGCATGTGGGAAGGACACTGTAACCCATAGAGGGGAGCTCTAGGGGCACAGGGAGCTCCTTTTGTGCCTGGCACCACCACTCTGCCTTGTGCCCTTGGGTTCCTGTTTTCTATCTGTATGTGCACGCCCACCCTGCAAGGGGTGAACCAGGCAATACCCAGGGCCAGGTGGCTGCTGCCTCCCACCGTGCTCAGTGAATGGAAATGCATGGCTTTGAGCTGTAGGCTCTCTGGCCAGAGAGGGCCAGGGGCTCCTACTCCTGGGGGGAAGGAAGGTGGTGAGCGACTACACCACCTTTCCTCGGAGTAGCTTTGAAAACCCTGCAGCCGGACGTTTGCAGGCCCATGTGCCACTTTGGCATCTGTCCTCTGGGAGCTCGTGGTCAGTGAAGCCTGCCCAGGGTAGGGGGCAGAGACCAGTGTGCCACTCAGGCTGTGCTCCCTTGGTTTACTGATGCATGAGGAACCMACCAGGCTGTATCAGGAGCCAGAGTCCCTGGGGTTGACACTGAGATTGGGGTTCGTGGGCACCAAGGGCTCACCCTCTGAGTGGCCACAGGAGGAAACCATGGTCAGATGAACCCGTATTCTGTTTCTTTACTGTGATCTCAGCCTCTTGGGGTGCAGTGCAGACACCCTGGCCTTGGCCCTCACTGAGCCTAGATCCTGCCCAGCCGCCCTCTGGATCTGTGGATGTCCTTACCAGCACCTCCAGGAGGCAGCTAATAGGAGTTCAAATTTCAGAAACAGAAAATTTTATTTGGGGTCCCCAATATATTAAATCATGGGCAGAATCGCCAGGGTAGTTTTTTTTTTTTTTTTTTTTAAGCCTGAAGTGTCAAACAGCTGGTGAAGCAGACGAGTCCCCTCCCAGGCCTAGAGGAGACTGTCCCCAGAAGGAGTTGCCAATCAGTCTGGGTGCTGGGGCACTTGATTCTTGGTCAGGGGTGATAACTAAAGGGACAGAGGCAGTCCCTATTTAAAGATGTAAAGCAGGATCTGTTGGTAACAGAGTTGTCAGATGCTGGCCATAGCGGCCCAATGATGAGGTACAAATGCATTTTCTTCAAACTCTTAGCAAATGTTCTCTTTTGGTACAAGCTTTGATAGGTCCCTTTTAAAATGAGGTGTTTTTCAAACTCCCATGCAGGGCCCCTGGGGAGAAGCTCTGGCTCCTGATTCAATCCGGCAGATGAGCTTGTTCAGAAAGCAGCTTAACAAGTGCCCACGCCACACAGGCCACCCCGCTGTGCCATTCAGTGGCCTTTAGTATATCCGTGGAGTGTGTGAAGTCCTTGCCACATTAGCAGATAAGCTCTTATCCCATCTTGACGGCCAGGGCTCTGAGGGGCACTGAATAACTGTTAGAACCTTACTGTGGTTTCAGAATCTTTTCTAAAGAGACTGTGGTTTTCAAGTTCTCCTGTGAGAACCAGAAAATAAACATAATGTATAAGACCAATAGAGTAAGACCACAGTGCTCTTCACTGTTTTCCCAGGCAGGACACTAAGGATCTCATTTAGCTACTTTTTTTGTTTTTAATTTCCCTTTGCACTAATGTGGTCAGAGAAAATTAGAATGGGTGGGTTGGGGCTGCAGGAAGACCCCTCCTCAGTGGTCTCCATGGTCCAGGATGAGGGAGGTCTCTGATTGGCAGATGGGGGTCRTTAGTGTGGAGCAAATCCTTCAGCACACCCCAGCCACCCCTGAAAGCTCAACTGTGAGACACATTTCAATGATGGATGTTCAAGTTGATGATTTCATTTAAAGACCAAGGTCAGATTAGCCAAATGGTCATCCAAAGAGGTTGAGGTTTAAAGGTTAGTGGTTGTTACGGGGTGAGGTGGCATTGTCTAGCACATTGTAAATACTCGACAAGCATACCCTAGATTTGTCTTTGGAAATGTCATGTCTCTAAAATATCTCACTCCCTGTTGATGTCAGATAAGCATTCATGAACTGGCCGCCTCTTACCAACTTGACAGGAATATTCTCTTGGTCTTATCTGGCGACCAGAACTTAGGATAGAACATGTGGTTGTTCTCCAGCCAGGGCATTGGCCTCCCTGTCAGGGGACAGGGCTAACTGGTTTTCAGCTACAGACCTGGTTTTCCACACTCGACACCTGTTTAGCGATCGCCTCTGCTTTTTCCCCCCAGGACTGGTGCTCCATGAAGAGGTGAAACCATGAAGAGAAAATAGAACAAATAATAATGCTTTTCCGAAATCGCTTCTTGCTGCTGCTGGCCCTGGCTGCACTGCTGGCCTTCCTGAGCCTCAGCCTGCAGTTCTGTGAGTACAGGGCAAGGCCCAGTGAGGGAGGGTGAGGGCCATGAGCTCACTGGCATCAAACTCAGGCTGCTGGGCAGCGGAGGCTGGGCGTGGGCAATTCTGTGTGACAAGACAAGATGTTGCAGGTGAGGCCAGTCCACCGTCCTCCACGTCCTTCAGTGGCATCCCTGTATCCAGTCTGTGCCCCAAACCTGTGCACACTACAGCTCTCCGCAAGTAGATGTCCTCAAGCACAGACCTGGCCCTGCCACCTCCTTGACGGTGGCCCTTCCTGGTGGCCCTGCAGGGGCCTGTCTGTGCTTGCTGTTCTCTACAAGTGCCAGCCTCCCTGTGTGCCCACTCTCTCTGTCCTCAGCAACGGGTGCTCTTCCTGTACCCGGCCCTGGGTTCTTTCAGAGCTTGCCTCCTCTCCTCCAGGAATCTTCCGTGGGCTCCCAAGTGTTTGCTACTTTTGTGACGTACATCCAGAAGCCCTGAGTCTGTCCCTCCTGTCACTAACCAGGCAGTATCAACATTTTCCATTCTTTTTTTTTTAATTTTTTTTTTTTAGTTGAACATGGACACAATACCTTTGTTTTCCTATTTATTTATTTTATGCGGTGCTGATGATCGAACCCAGTGCCTCATGTGTGCAAGGCAAGTGCTCTGCCACGGAGCCACCACCCCAGCCCAGCGTTTTCCATTCTTGTGTCATTTCCTTCTATAAGATTGTCCGTTCTTGATAGCAGGGACCCTGTCACGTTTGCCTCTATATCCCAGGAACCAGCTTTGCCAGGCACATAGTAGGTGAACGTAGGTTGGCTGGATGAATCCAGGCCCACTCTGGGAACAAGGCTGGCCCTCATTCCCTTTCTGAACTAAAAGCCGAGCAAGCGTCTGTCTATGCTGGGAATTGTGCTTTTGCCGTCACCTGATTTATGTCTGTTTTACCACCTCAACATATGAACAGAAGACCTGTCCTTTTGGCACCTGTCACCACCCAGAACATGTTTGTGGGGAGGTGGCATTTTGTCTCATTTTCAGTGACAGAAAGAGGAGCCAGTGGGTGGGATGTGGTGAGTTCCTGTGGGGAGAGTTGGCATCGGGAGTAGGAGGTTTGCAAAGAAGAGGCTCCGAGCAGTTCTTCCCGATTTACCTCCAGCGTGACTCTGTGCCAGGCGCACCTTGGGGACACGTGACAAGCTATTTCTAATAGTAAAGAAAATTTAAAATAACTTATTTCATCCTTCCAGAATTGGAAAGGAGGTCAAGAGAATGTGGGCTCAAGAAGTTTAAAAATACTCCAGATGGTTAATGAGCTGCAAACTATGAATCCTTTCCAAAAAAAGGGTGGTTTGATTTTCAGTAGTTCAATTGTTTATAATTTCTCATTAAAAAGTTTCCACCCTTTGGTCAGAGAAGTGGGATGTTACAGTCAACCCAGAGTTTTACCCCAAGACCCGATAGGTTCTGAGAGGTGACTGTGGGTGACTTGTGTTCTCTGGCATGCGCTGGTCCTCACGTCACTGAATGGGCCTGTGTGTGTCTTGCTTATATAACTCTTCTGAAAGTACCTCTGTTTCAGGAGAGCCAATTTTCAGCCACGCTTTTTTAAGGAAAATTTTTGCAGGGTAAATTAGCCTGGCTGGCTCTAAGCTCTTTATTCTGGGGTACGTCGGAGTTCAGAAAGATATTAAGAAATGGACGTTCTTGCCTCTCTTCTACTCCTAGGTAAAGTGTCACTGGAATTTTCTCGTTTCTATAGAAATGAAGTTCAGTYGCTTTATTTGTTTGATTGCTTTATTGCTTCCTTATTATTACGGCGTAAGAAACTGCACTGATTCATACTATGAAGATTTTACTTGAGTAAGACTGTCTTTTTTTGTTCTTACCATAAAATGTAGGGAACTTTTGCTTTATAATTCCTTTTGACTAATTTTTGAATTTTATACTAGCCCATATAATAATCTTAAATAATATGCTTAAGGCCATAAACTCTAACGTGGTCTTCTTATTGCCTGAAGTAAGCAATATGGTTTTATTTTCTGAAATGATCGTCTATTTTATTTCCTCTGGTTGGTAGTTTTCCTTTTCTGGTGTTTTGAATACAAGAAAGTTAAGACCCAGGTTACGATTCAGAAATTAGGTTGCTTAAATAAGTGCTTCTTCCTCTGGGTACGGAAGGAATGCAGTGAGCCCACATGCATTTATTAAGTGCTTACGTGGGTTTGACGTTGGGGGGGGTGGTTAGTAGGGAAGGGACACACAAAAGATTAAGCTACAGTTTATAGTCTCTTGAAATAGGTCCATTATATGCTAACAGTCCTTAATCAAAAATAATTTGTTCTGTGTTTCCAAGTTCTTGATGTTATCGCAGTTAAAATTCCCACAAGTAGAAAAATGACTTCTCCAATCGCGGGGCTCCTACATCACAGCAGGGAAAGACGGTCAGGCTGTGAAGACTCGTGAATCATTAGTTTAGTTATGTTTCTGCTTCTTCTGCTCATTTATAGTCCCCCCACTTCCCTCCTCTGCCCCAGCATTTCCTTGACGCTTGTCTTGTGCTTGGTGCTCCATGTTCCAACTGGCATTCCCAAAATGGCGGTGTGACAGGAGCACACAGGCTCTTGAATTCCAGCCTTGGGTTGGAAGCTCAGCTTCCCCGCTAAGCATCTGGGTACCTCATTTCCTTCCCGTAAAATAGAGTTAACGATTGCTGTTTTGCAGGATCCGTATGAGAATGAAGGATTTTGGAAAAACCCTTGGCTCATGGAAGCCTAGCCAACATAAATCTTTTAAGCAAACCACACTCCCATCGTAATGCACTGTCATCAGAAACTAGGGCTCTTGGTGTTCCAGAAGGCTGCCAGAGCTTCTGTTCCTTCAGCCACGAGATGGAGGGGGAAGCTTTTGAAATATGTCATCCGTTTATTTATTTTTTATTAGAGCGCATTGGCCCTGATGGGGGTTAATCTGTACAGAGCACATGGTGTACGTATCTGGGGGTGGTCCTCTTGGGCAGGGCTCTGATTGATCAGAGCAGGTTCAGAGGGAACGATTGGAGGTGGACTGGAGATTCAGATCCCAAGTGGAGGAGGCGAGGGTAGCCTACAGAAGTGAAAGACCAGGATATCTTCAAAATCTGAAGTGCCCACTCTGCAAGGGGTCAGACCTGATCTGCGTGGCCCAGGTGAACGTGGAGACAGGTTTCTCTTAAGCGTGAAGTAGAATTCCCCGAAGGGGGTGCCCCACAAAGGTGGCCTGGGTGCTGTGTTCTCCATCACTGGAGTCTGCAAGCTCTGAAGGGTTCATTATGAGGCAGGTCATAGGACCCGGTCCCATTTCAAGTCTCTGAAATCTGAGATTGTGTGAAGTTTAGTATGTGCGTCCCTGGAGTTTCCCTCCTGGGCAGGGACTGAAGTCCCTCAGGGGCCACAGACAGCTCTCTGGAGTGTCAGGAGCAGACATGCAGAATGCCACACACTGGGTGCCAGGGCAGATAGGAGGCAGGGGCACAGCTAGGTGGGAAGAAGTGTGAACGCTGGACCCAGACTGCCCAGATGGAGTCCCTGTCCTGCCATTCATCAGCCGTGGGAGCTCAGGCAAATCATTTACCCCCTTCATGCTTCAACTCCCTCCCGTGCAAAGTGGGGCTAGTGATTGTCCCAACCCCATGAGTTGGCAAACTAGCGTTTTTAAAACCTCTGGCACTTGTAATCTCAACGTATGTGTTTGCTGAGCCAAATGAATTAGTAATCGTCTGTGGCAGAGTGTTCTGGGAGGATGGAGGACAAGAACTCAGCAAGGACTGGGGAGTCAGGTGGCATCTCCACTCCTCCTTAAGCAGGGTTGGAGTTGGCCAAGGGTGATTCTGGGGAAGGGGGCCCCTGGGCCGTGCTGGGGAAAAGGTGGCCGTAGCCGGTGGAGCTGGGCCTGCAGAGATAGAGCGGAAGAGCTTCCCCTGTGTGTGGCTGTGAAGCTGGGCCAAAGGCTAGGGCCTCCCTCCCACCACCACCTGATGTTCTGGAGGCTTCAGGGATCACTGCAGCAGGGGAGTCCCCCTCCAGCTGGTGTCTTGGGGGGCCCACAGCCTACTTCTGTGTCTTCCCGAGCTGGGCTCCTGAGCACCTGGATCAAATCTGCCTGAGGAGCTTGTTTGAAATGTCTGTTCCCAAGAAAGCAGGTCGTGCCCCTCCCTACAGAATCTTGGTGGGAGTGGACCCCGGGGAGCCCCACTTTGGGCAAGCTCCCTGGGTGTGTCTCAAGTGCGTGAGAGCACCCCAGAGGAGCAGGGTGGGGGTGATGTGGGGCGATGCGACCCAGGCTGTTTCACTTCTGCAGCAAAGGGACAAGGGTGGCTCGGGAGGTGCTGCAGGGGCCGAAGAAAATGCCCAGCACATGGAGGGAGGTAGAGCTGGTGGCCTGGGGCCTGGGTGGGGAGGCTGATGAAGAGTGCTCAGGACATGCAGACCAGCAGGGCAGGGCTCTGGCAGTGGTGCAGATTGAGGCCACCCAGGAAGCAGGGTGAGCCTGGGGAGATTCCTGGGGTCGTTGGAGGTACCCAGGGCCAAATGGGGGCCATGTTCTGCCTGGCAGGGTCTCGGGTCTGAGGCCTAGAAGAGACGAGATGCTGGCAGGAAGCACTCCCCGAGGACTTCGTGTTCACTGTTCACAAAGCCCAGGCTGGAGAAGCCCAGGAAGCTGCTCCAGCCCGGTGGCCTATGAGCTTGCTTGGCTTGGCCCAGCCTGTGTTTCCCGAGTTTTTAAATTTATTTACCAATTTCACATAAACTTGCAAACCCCTCTTTAGAAAACCAGTCTGCCCAGCAACCTGAGGCCCCTGCCTCTTGCAGGGGGATCTGGCCGCTGAGGAGGGGCTGCCCCTTTTCCCACAGTCCTGCCCAGGCCCTGTCAGCATCTGACGTGGCGCCCGTGGTACCAGGTCCACGTGGTRCCAGGTCCACGTGGTGCCAGGTCCGAAGGGCAGGGTGGGGTTAGTCACAGAAAGAGGCAACAGAGGA